TCTCATCACCGTCAACAGTAGGCATTAATGGCGACAATGGCGGGAGAAAAGGGCGGGCTACACTCACACTTCACAAACCCCCAATTTGGTACCCATCTTTAATTACTCTCTCCTTCTGTCTCTCCTCCATTAATTTCTCCTCTCTTCTTAAGAAATCTCTCTCCTCCATTAATATTTCTCTTCATAGAAGACATTAATCCTACATCAGATCAGTGGTTGAGATCTCATGTTCGTTTCTTGCAGTAAAAGAAGACATTTAAAGGTAACTATAAAGTGATTGAGATCCCATCTTTATATCTTGATTTGTTGAAATGTCTAAATTTTTAAATGAGAAAATCTTTATCGTGTTGAGACTACTATTTTCTCATGAGAAAACTCTAATTCTGTTGATTACATCATTTGTAGTGAGAGTTAGGAAAGTGCTATACTTTCTTTAAAAAGTGCTATGAAAAGCTGAGCAATGTAAAAGTTCTATATTTTCTTTATTTGATTCACAAAATAAAAATCATTTGTTCCTCATTTCTATAGAATGTAGAAAAATCTGGTCTTTGAATATTTAGGAATGAATATTGAATTATATTGTATAGAAACATAGAGAATTGCATATTGAATGCCGATGTTGAATTATATCGTATACAATAAGAAAATGCATGTTAGACTTGTGTTTGTTTGGTAATATTTGATTGTTAGTTAGTTCCCCACTTATTTTATTTTTTATGAATTTCAGTAATGGAAGAAGAGCTATATTGTGCAATTATGGACTTTAGAGGAAACAATCATTTGATTCCAATGAATATCAAGGGGACTTTCAGTAATTTAGTGGCCGAGGTGCAAAGTAGAATTGCTTTTTTTTCAAGCCCAGTAAAGTTGACTTATGAAGTCCCATATACAGAAGAATTGTTTGTACGTGTCCATGATGACGTCGATTTGTCAACAATGTTCGATGTACATCTAAGTTGCAAGAAGAAGATAGTTAAGATGCATGTTGACATAGATCGAGATACATTATTTGGTCTAGAGGAAAACACCATTCACATAAGGTAAGAACTTATTGTATATTGTGAGGTCCATATTTCACAAAATTAATCCATGTTTATTTAATTTCTCTGTAGTTCAAAGAAAAATTATGACGATATAATATGTCGGCAATTAGCTGTAGTACTAGATAAGAATTTTCATTAATGTTTCTAATTGCTAGTCTTATAAGGTAACCGCTTTATGTTTGCAGGAATCCTACCATCTCTCTTTCGGAACAACATGCATCCTCGACGCATAATCCATCCAATTCACAAAATGCATTATGTGAAGTTGAGAGATCTAGTATTCAGATTCCTATTTCATGGTATCATGCCATTAGAAGTGTCGGACAAGAATTTAATGACGTTAAACATCTAAGGCAAAGTCTTGGAAATTACTCAATTGCTCTTGGTTTTAACTTTGCTTATTTGAAAAATGAACCTAGAAGATTGATAGTAAAATGCAAAGGTGCTGATTGTGAATGGATGGTCCATTGTAACCGTCATACAGATTGCAAACGGTTTTACGTGAAGAAAATTGGTAGTGCACATAGTTGTCTCGGAGGAGGCATAGGAGAGAAGGGACATCCACGGGCATCTCGTAAGTGGGTTGCAAATATGGTGAAATCCATACTAAAAGAACAACCCACCTACCGCGCAATTGATCTTAAAAAGAAGCTTTTGAGAGAGTTTGGCGTTGATATCCCCTATGGAAGAGCTTGGTGTGGGAAAGAGCTTGCTCAACAGGAGTTATATGGGTATGCAAAACATTCATATGAACAACTTAGATGGTACAAGGATAAAGTTATGGAAACTAACCCAGGATCAATCGTCCATCTAGAACATGAAGATGGCAGATTTACTAGATTTTTTATCTCATATTATGCTTGTTGGAAGGGTTTTGTCGAGGGATGTAGGCCAATTTTATTCTTGGATGGCACCCATCTTTTTGATAGGTACAAGGGAACTCTACTTGCTACTACTGCTTTGAATGGAGATGGAGGAATGTTTCCTGTCGCTCTTTGCATTTGTGGAACCGAGAATGAGAGCAATTGGGAGTGGTTCCTTGAATGCATTCGTGATGTATTGTACAATTCAGATGATCCATATACTCCGAATGATGAGCTGGTTATAATCTCCGATCGAGACAAAGGACTTTAAAATTCCGTCAAGAATTGCTTCCCTTGTTCATATCACAGTTATTCCATCCGCCATTTAATGGCTAATTATAAGAACAACTTGTCAAAGAAAAGGTTACCAGCACCACTTAGGGATGATTGTGTTCAAATTATGAAGAGAGATGCCTATACCTACACAATGCGTGCTTATCATAATGAATGCAACGAGCTCCAGAATAAGTCATCTATTGCTTTCATTGAAATGCTGAATATGAGCCCACAGAACTGGGCTAATTGTTATTTTCCTGGAAAGAGGTCACCATTTTTATATATTTTTGGTCTTTGTGATTGAATTCTCTGATATGTGTGTTTGAACATGTATAACATTTGAATAATCCTATAGCTATAACATGGTTGCAGGTATGGGTGGTTAACCTCAAATCTAGCCGAGTCCTTCAACGCAAGGATTAAGGAAGCCCGATTTTTACTGATAGCGTAGTTGGTTGATCACATCTGGGTGAAGATGATGAAAATAAGCTACGATAGACGTGAGGAATCCAACAAATGGACTACACCATTTGTTCATAGTGTAGAGGAGCATCTTGTCCTAATCAACGAGGGTGCACGTTGTCTTCATGTTAATCCTTCTACGTCGATTCTGTATGAAGTATATGATTCCCGTTGTCTTCATGTTAATCCTTCTACGTCGATTCTGTATGAAGTATATGATTCCCCATCTGTTAGAGTGAATTTGGAGTACCAATCCTTCTACGTCGATTCTGTATGAAGTATATGATTCCCCATCTGTTAGAGTGAATTTGGAGTACCGCATGTGTACTTGTCGCTAATAGCAAGTTCTTGGACTACTTTGCAAGTGTTTGGTGGAAAATTTTGTAACAAGAAAATGAGAAAGGAACTGTACTTGATTTTATTCTCTCTAACTTGTTTAGAAAAAGAATGATTACAGTTCTCTCAACTCTCAATTACAATTGGATTTTCGATTACAAAAGAGAAGAGAATGATCGGGATTCTCTCCTTTGAGATGCCTCCCTCGAATGCTTGCGTCGAGTTTGCTTCTCGTTGACGATCCGAATATCTATACTCACTGGAACAACTGTCTTGTCTGGTTGATAACTCTTGACGAGTTTTGTGATTCAGAACAAGTAACAAACTCTAATGATAGAGTTGTTGGAACCGAAAATAATTCGGTTAATAAGCCAAATGCCGACTGCTTAGAGTTCCTCCGTCTGTTGATTTCCCAGACTGTGTAAGGAGTCAATCCTCCTTTTTCTGATTCTGGAAGATTTGATCGAAAGATCCCCCTCCGATTAATGAAAAGAAATCTCTCTTGATCTGATTATCAAAAATCCGATCTCCCCCAATCCAAAAAGAGATCTTTTACTCTGTTGAGTTTGTTGCTATTTATAGGGGGATTAGGGGTGTAACTACCCCCATAATCCGCGCCTAAATGGGGATTAGTTACCCCATTAGTCGGGTGTAACAACCCACTAAAGCCACTCCTCAAATCGTGGGTGAAGAACAGCTTCGGAGTTGTTACGATCGCGTTTGAATGAGTCAGAACCTTGACCTGCGTTCTGGCGGTGATTGAGCTGCGTTTGGCAGCGACTGACGGGCTGCGTTGGGCAGCGATGGATGAGCTGCGTTGGCAACGGTTGATAAGCTGCGTTGGGCAGCGATGGTTGATAAGCTGCGTTCGAGCTGTGCTTGGCAGCGATTGGAGCTGCGTTCAAGCTGTGTTGAAGCGGCGTAGGTGATTGAATCGGTGTAGTGTCTTGATGATGGTACGCGGGGAGGACTTCCACGTCTTGGTTTGAAGAGATCGTTGATTTGTAATCCCTTTCTGTCAGAGTATTGCTGAAGACTGTCGTTTTGTAATCTTTGCTTTAACTCTTTGACATGTGAAAATCTTCGAATTGTAGCCTTCTGGAAGTCGTCAGATTGTAACTTCCATCATCAGTGTTTGATGGAGACTCAGCTATCTATTATGATTTTTAGACAGCCTACAGTGTTAAAGATGTTCAATGACACGATGCTCGATGAAGACTTGTCTATATTAAATGTAAATGAGAGATTATCATGTTTGATGATTAGTTTACTTTAATCTTTGATACCCACTGAAAACAAAACTTGTTTTTTTTCATGATTGCTAATTTTGATTTTTAGAACTCTTTGACCTTACACAAGCCAATCAAAGAGCAAAACTTGTTCGATGTGGAAATTTAAGGAGGAGTTTAAAATTAGCTCTATATAATTTCTCAGTTTTATGACGCAAATCGAATGCTAACATCAACTATGTACTAAGGTCTATGTAAGTATCTTTATACTGAACAAGTAAAATGAGAAAGTGAAAATTATAATATGCTTATAATAAACATGTAAAGTGAGAAATTCACTCATCATCTATGAAGGAATCAACCTTTATCTTCCTATTAATTCCCCTTGAAGCTGATTGGAAACCTTCTGCTACATGTTCACTTATCATGAATTCTTTTTTATTTTGTTGCTTTCCTTGGGCTTTGACTAACTGAATGCAGTTTAACTTGAGGAAGTCCTTGTAGCAGTAGCTTAAGGTACATTTTTTGAGAGAATAGGACTGAATGAAAGGTTACCGATTTTTTTATTTATTATTACATATTCATTTGAGATGCTACTTTTTATTTTATGATAATAAATTAATATGATTTTATATTCACACTAATTGTAATCAAGTATGGATAAAAGTTAGATGACACTGATTAGGGATAGATAATGTCTGCGGTATCGGGCCGGAGTTGATGCTTTTATTGAATTTGCAAAAGTAAATGTAGGCAGGCGTAGCACGATTCAGTGTTCGTGCAACAAATGCATGAATCTTGATTGGCATGAATTTGGTATTGTGAAAGATCATTTGGTTCGATATGGGATTATGGTATCCTATAAGATTTGGTTGCACCATGGAGAATTGCCTGATAATTATCATGGTGATTCCGGTGATGACAGGGATGAGAGCGATGACGATAACAGAGATGAGTATCCAGAATTAATGGAAGACCATTGCAGAGGAACTTATATGGATGATGATGATGTAGAGATGGATCATGATGTTCGAAACTTTGAAAAATTACTGGAAGCTTCCCAGCGTGAAATGTATCCTGGTTGCAAAAACTTCACTTTGTTGGCATTTGTTGTCAAGATGCTTCATGTGAAAGTTGAGAATAGATGGAGTAATAAGTCATTCGACATGATTTTACAGATATTTAGGGACTTATTGCCAGAGGGTCATTTGGTTCCGGGGTCAATTTATTAAACGAAGAAGTTGTTGCGTGATCTGGGCATGGGATATGAGCATATCGATGCATGCCAACATGATTGTGTACTGTTTTGGAAGAACTCGCACCTGATAAAGTGTCCTGTATGTAGGGAGTCTAGGTACAAGTTCATTGGTGGAAATGGTATGAAGATCCCTCGTAAGGTGTTGTGTTACTTTCCGTTAACTCCGAGGTTGCGGAGGCTGTACATGTCTAGGAAAACGGCCACAGAGATGAGATGGTATAGGGATAAACGTGTAGATGACGGGATTATGAGACATCCGGCTGACACTGAGGAGTGGAAGGAATTTGATCTTATTCATCCTGATTTTGCAAAAGAGATCCGCAATGTAAGGCTGGGACTGGCTAGTGATGGGTTCAACCCTTTTGGGAACATGAGCAATGCCTATAGTATGTGGCCAGTCATACTTATGCCTTACAACTTGCCACCCTGGTTGTGTATGAAAGAATCTTTTTTCATGATGTCCTTACTTATTCCTGGACCACATGCACCAGGGAACGACATCGATGTTTTCTTGAGGCCTTTGGTCGACGAGTTGAAGGAGTTGTGGGACAATGGGGTAGTAACTTATGATGCCTCCAAAAAAGAGATCTTCCGGATGCATGCGGCTATATTGTGGACCATTAATGACTTTCCTGCATATGGTAACTTGTCTGGGTGGAGCACAAAAGGCTATTTGGCTTGTCCACCTTGCAATGATGATCCATTATCGCATCGATTGAGGAGTAAGATTGGATACTTCGGTCATCGAGTTTACTTGCCTAGGAATCACACTATGAGACGGAGTAAGGACTTTAACGGTAGGACTGAACATCACATGAAATCTTTGGAGTTACCCGTGGAAAAGGTACTTGAGCAGCTGGATCAATTACCAAATGTTAATTTTGGAAAGCATCCTTTAAAGAGGAAAAGACCCTATGAATCCATTGCCCTAAATTGGAGAAAGAAAAGTATCTTTTTCGAGCTACCGTATTGGAAAGAACTGAAGGTGCGGCACAATTTGGATCCCATGCACATTGAAAAGAATATATGTGAGGCAATCATTGGGACAATGTTGGGTATAGACGGGAAGAATAAGGACACTAGTAAAGCTCGTCTCGATTTGGAAGATATGGATATAAGGTCAAAATTACATTTAGAGAAACAACCAGATGGATCCATTCGCAAGCCTATTGCATCCTACACACTATCCCCAGAAGAGAGAGAGGGTTTTTGTGCATTCTTGGCATCGATTAAGTATCCTGATGGGTATGCAGCAAATCTATCGAGGTGCGTGAGCACTAGAGGCGGCAAATTGACGGGTCTGAAGAGCCATGATTATCATGTCCTTCTACAACGTCTTCTGCCAATTGGGATGCACGGATATGTTAACAAGGAAATTGGTACAACACTTTTTGAGTTGGGAAGCTTCTTTCAGGACCTTTGTTCTAAAACATTGAGGCACAGTGACTTGGAAAAGTTAGAGGAACGCATTGTCCTCATACTTTGTAAACTGGAGAGGATTTTTCCACCGGCTTTTTTCGATGTGATGGTCCATTTGGCTGTTCACTTGCCACGTGAAGCCATGCTTGCTGGCCCTGTGCAATATCGGTGGATGTATCCGATCGAAAGGTATATATTAGAGGACCACGTAATTAATTAGTTTCATATTTGTGCAACTGTATTACATATAAATCTTATTCTATTTTATGGTTCCTTTGAAGGTTTCTTGGAACACTAAAGGGGTACGTTACCAATCGAGCTAGGCCAGAAGGTTCAATTGCAGAGGCTTACATTGCTAAAGAGTGTCTTACTTTTTGTTCATTGTATCTTAAAGGAGTTGTTCGAGAAGAACGAAATGTTGATTGTGGTATACTTGGTCCTGGATTGTCGGTTTTCACACAAAGTGCTCGTCCCTTCGGACCAATCACAAGAGCTCCAAATGTGTCTCAGAAAGATCTGGATATGGCTCAGTGGTTTGTGTTGTATAATAGCCCTGAATTGGAGCCGTTTCTAGAGTATGTATTAAGTTTTTTAAGTTTGAATCAGTTGTATAGTTTTACTAACCAATTGATTGACACCTCTGGATGTAGGGAACACAAGGCTACGATCCAAAATTCTAGAGGACATGACATTACTCAGATACAACGAAAAGAATTTTCAAAATGGTTCAAACAACATGTAAGTTATCTGAAATACGCACAAGTCATTTTATAAATTAAAATTAAATCAACATTATTGAATACCTAATGCACTTGTAACATGTTTATGTAGATAAATCATTTGCGAACTATCGGGTCACCAAGGGCAACTGATGAATTGTGGTCATTAGCAAATGGTCCAGATATATTAGTTCATCTCTATGAAGGATGCATTTGTAATGGCGTTCGGTTCCACACTAAAGATCGCGACAACCGTCGTAAGAGTCAAAATAGTGGTTTGGTTGTGGAAGGGGATCACGATGGAAAAACAATTGACTTTTACGGTTACTTATGCAAAGTCTGGGAGCTGAAATATTTGCATGGGGTTAAGGTTGTTCTGTTCCAATGTGAGTGGTTCAACACTGGCGGTAAAAATAGAATACATAAAGATACACATATCACAAGTATTGATGTTAGGGGTCGTTGGTATCAAAACGATCCATTTGTGCTACCAGAGCATGTGAAGCAAGTATTTTACATTGATGATACCAAATTGGGTGCTCATTGGAAAGTCGTAGAACGGGTCCAACACAGGAGTGTGTGGGATGTACCGGAACAAGTCCATGATGATATGCTTAATGATGCATTTCAACAAGTTGAAACCACTGTCGCTGTTCCAATTCTCGTCGAGCCTACTACAAATTATCCTTATTATAGGGATGATATTGGTCCCAATATCATTCCCAGTGCTGACCTAAATACGGAGTATGAAGTTGACAATGATCAGACAATGGAAGAGTATGGCGATGATGAAGAAGATAATCTGCATAATCAGGCTGACTTAGATATAGACCCTGATATTGATTATGATGTGTAGTATATGTTTTTGTTTCGTAAATGAACAAATATCAAGAAATAATATTGTTTGAAAGCAACATAATTACATTCTATCATTTTGTATAAAAGTTTAATGTTACAACCTGGCATAATTTATATGTTCTAACATGTAATTTTTTTCATAGTTATCAAATATGCACAGTGGTAAAAAATTATGGGTCAAACCGGGGTCCACACGGAAAATGGCAGAAATATATGAGGCAAGAAGGAGGAAAACAATAGATGAGAATATAGAAAGAATGAGAGCTTTGGGAATACCACCACTTTCACAAACAATTTCCAGGACGTTGCCAATGCATGAGAGGAAAAGTAAAGGCAGTAAAAAAAAGGTTTGTGAGGATGATGATGAGTACCAACCGCCTATGGATGATAATTTGCTTAGCTCATCGAGTGAAGATGACAATGATGATTTAGAAGAGGTAATATCTATTTGTGTATTGTCATTAATGGTTACTTGTAATTACTTGTCCTTGTCAATACTTATTATTATTTGTTATTAATTTCTTTTCATTATGTGTACTAATAATTCATTTTACTCAATTATAACAGGTAACACGTATGGCTCCAGGACGCAGGTCCAAAAATGTTACATCATCGACTTCTGTGCCCGAGATGAGGATTTTGGTTGCTTCGAACCAGCCACCCCAGTGTACCCGTAGCGAGCTGCCCTACCTCGAGCCATCATCAATTGCCCAACCCGACCAACTAGAAAGCCCTCAAACGATCGGGAGCAGCGTAGGTATTAATATATCATTATTTACATATCAGATTCACCTTTCCTTTATATTAGATATAAAATTTAATTCAATTAACTTTGCATTTTATGTAGGATCGGTACCATCGGCCCGTAGAAATGTAGGCGGTGCAACACGAGGGAAGGGGACAGAGAGATTGGTGAGACAATTGGGTCTGCGATTTCAGTTTCCGATCCCTTCCTCGAGTGGAGCACCGGAGGGGGAGCATGCGACATCCCTCGCGAATGAGATTAGTAAGGAGATTCGAACATCTGCACCGGTTCGCAATTGTGGTTGGGACAATATTGATGCTGAGATTCGAGAGGCGATCATTATGAGAGTTCGGGTATTTTTTTAATCATTCTTTAATGATATATTTTCATTGCTATGATATATTTGTCCTTATTTATTCAACCATAAAGGCTAGTTTATTATGCATCAAATGAATATAATTATCTACAACAAGTTATGAATGTTTAAGATCAATGGGGTATAACCATGAGATGTAAACGTACAATCAATGGGGTATATACAAACCCCATAATTCTGGCTTTTGCATGTTTAAGATCATATATGGGTTTTGTGCTAATTTCGCTATATTGAAAAGCAGGGTACATATGAAGGGAGTTTCTTGTATTTTACCCAAATACAAGAAAATCCTGAACATATCAACTTAGTTTTCTAACTTGATTCTCCTTTGAACAAATTAATGGCCAGCCCTAACTTAATCATTCAAAATCATCTTTTAAGAATCACATTTATTCATAAAAGCTACACAAGCAAACTACAGATTGGATACATATATAAAATCAATTACATTTTCATGTCTGATGCCCATTGTACCTGTAGAGAGGCATGGCAAAACAATAGCAAAGATCAAAAACTCCTAGCAGATTGCACTGAACTATGAATCAAACAGCATACACAAATATCAAATGATAAAGTCACATAGCATTAATTGTTAAGATGTCATACTTCAATTTTAGACATGCAGTAGGAACCCAGAATGTAAATTAACAATAAACAAAGATCTAGTTACCTCCCCTTCATTTCCCCTGCTTGTAAAAACAAGCTTGTTTGATTGCTGATAGTTATACATCTCCAACTGCATATCATTTCCGTTGTATAGAACACCAGGAGTTTGAGGCAGTGATAGTTTTCCTTCAAGAACATAAACTCCGATACTATGAATGTACCATCCACTCCTTCCATGAAAACCTATAACCATTCCTTCTGCCAAGCAAGAAGAGAAGAATGTTCCTTCCTCATCTCCGTATGGTCCATATTTCCTTCTTGTCGTGTGAAATGTAAGTGATCTTATAGTAGTTGGCCCTATCATCATAGTGGGACCAAAATAACCAGTAATATACGTCAAGACCTCAAATGGATAATCAAATATTATCTGCAAAAAAAGAAAATTAAATTTCATTTTCAAGAAAATAAGTTTACATAAATCTACAACCAAAGGTCTCCTAGCTTAGCTCACCTTGTCGGTTATGATTCCTGCGGTTCCTCCTTGCTTGTTTCCCCACACTTCTTGCCCGTTTCTATCATATTTCACTTTTAGTGAGGTGATTGCAGCATTTCGAGATAAATTGATCTGCCTAACTCCAGTGTATATGCCATCATCAAATATTGTTCCACCACTTCCACCCCAAGGACCATAGGGTACAGGGCCACCAATACTAGATGATCTTTTCTCTGTTGTAAATCTAGGAAAAGAAACCACCTGCAAATTTATTTATCAGTGTACAAAATCAATACAGTTTGAATAATTGGAGTGAGATCTTAAACTAGTAGTCACAAAGATATAGATACATTGCAGAACTTTCACAAATGTGCACATGCACAGCCACCAGATAGAGAGAGGGAAGGAGGGAGAGTAATCCTTTGGGAATGATTCGGACACAAATCCTTCCTATTAGGAGTCACACTGGGGTATCCATTTCTATAATTCATTCTTTTGAAATTGATCTTACTAGCTTTCTGTTTTCTTTGTGTTATTCATTTTTTTCCTTTCTTATTTCAGTTTTCTGGTTCAGGGACACCATGAATTTACTTGTGTTTACTTTCAGAATGACATAGTTATTCCAGGTAGCTGGCTATGAAGATATTTAACGGAATCAAACAGAACCATTTGGTTCTTTTAGTTAGTCAGAACCGAGCTTATTTGGTCAAGGTTTTGCATAAACCATGAGAAATGAAAACTGAACAAATTGATGAGCCTGTTTTTGTATCGTTCTTTTGGTAGGAACAACACTTATCTTAGGTCACCTTGTTTTCCTTTAAATAAAGGTAGTGTTGCCGTTTGGCTTTTTATTGTTTCTTTTTCATATCATGTTTTGACATGGAACAATGAAATACCAATTTGATATTGCGACAACAACTATTTATTCCTCTTGTACTATGCTTTTGCCTTAAATATTGGAAGAATAATGTAAATGCCAGGAATACAGTATTAACGTGGCACACTTTGTGGTCCCGTCGCTCTATTGTTAAGAGTCGACGAGTGGAAGGTGTTGCGATTGGAGCAACTTTGAGGACTTATCGCTCTATTGACGAGAGTCGATAAGTTAGAAGTGTTGCGATTGGAGCAACTTTGAGGACTTATCGCTCTATTGACGAGAGTCGATAAGTTAGAAGTGTTGCGATTGGAGCAACTTTGAGGACTTATCGCTCTATTGACGAGAGTCGATAAGTTAGAAGTGTTGCGTTTGGAGCAACTTTGAGGACTTATCGCTCTATTGACGAGAGTCGATAAGTTAGAAGTGTTGCGTTTGGAGCAACTTTGAGGACTTATCGCTCTATTGACGAGAGTCGATAAGTTAGAAGTGTTGCGTTTGGAGCAACTTTGAGGACTTATCGCTCTATTGACGAGAGTCGATAAGTTAGAAGTGTTGCGATTGGAGCAACTTTGAGGACTTATCGCTCTATTGACGAGAGTCGATAAGTTAGAAGTGTTGCGTTTGGAGCAACTTTGAGGACTTATCGCTCTATTGACGAGAGTCGATAAGTTAGAAGTGTTGCGTTTGGAGCAACTTTGAGGACTTATCGCTCTATTGACGAGAGTCGATAAGTTAGAAGTGTTGCGTTTGGAGCAACTTTGAGGACTTATCGCTCTATTGACGAGAGTCGATAAGTTAGAAGTGTTGCGTTTGGAGCAACTTTGAGGACTTATCGCTCTATTGACGAGAGTCGATAAGTTAGAAGTGTTGCGTTTGGAGCAACTTTGAGGACTTATCGCTCTATTGACGAGAGTTGATAAGTTAGAAGTGTTGCGTTTGGAGCAACTTTGAGGACTTATCGCTCTATTGACGAGAGTCGATAAGTTAGAAGTGTTGCGATAATTGTTATCGTGTAACAGAATCCCAATTGCAGCTGTAGGGGTTCAGAGGAACAGGATTACCCCCTGCGTTTGGGGCCTTCGAATTGAACTGTGGATATTGTGTACTTGGACGCACTTCCAGACTATTGCGTTTGGCTTCCACTATACGTTTTCCAAACGCAAGGCTTTGTCTTGCGTCTTATCAGAAGCCCAAACGGCTGTAATGATGGCGAAGAGATCTCCTTTAAGCGGGAGTCTTGGGACTCTGCACCGTCATAAATTATTTATAAATTGGGTTGATTAGTCATGTCAAGAGGCTTTAACGTTTAAGCTTCTTTCTTGAACTCCCAAACGAGTTTCTTCTCGTTATTTCTTCCACGATCTGATTTCGTCATCTGGCCATGGCTCCCAAGAGATCTCACGAACAGATGGCGGACATTCTTCCGCCGTCGAAGGGTGCTTCTGGGTCCGCCTCCGGACCATCGTCGACGCCTCCGACGCCTGGACATCGAAGTGAGTATCCCTGTCTTCTTCGTTTTAAGTATTCTTCGTCAATGGGTTTTCTTGACATTCTGAAGACGAATTCTGGTTGATGATGACGAATAAAATTCGTCTCCTCAATCTTGAGAAGAACTTGTATGCTTCTTAACCAAAGACTGTTCATCTCTTTGATCTTGGATGACAAGAGAAGTTCTTGTGTCCATTGTTGAACTCTCCTTGTTGAACACATGGAAAAGTTCCTGTGTTTATTGATAACAATTGTTTGTCTTAGATACGAACAACTGTTCATGTGTTCTTTGATCTTGAATGTGGAAGAAGGCTTCCGTGTTTATTGATAAGATGAAGGGATTAATCTCTTAATCTGGAACACAGGCAGAAGTTCTGCGTTCATAGCTTTTTGAACGCAGGTTTAACTTCCTTGCGTTCAGGCCTTGAATGTGGAAGAAGGCTTCCGTGTTTATTGATAAGATGAAGGGATTAATCTCTTAATCTGGAACACAGGCAGAAGTTCTGCGTTCATAGCTTTTTGAACGCAGGTTTAACTTCCTTGCGTTCAGGCTGATCCTGACGCATGTTACTGCGTTTGCCTCCATCTATTTTATTAACTTTGCTTTGGCTCATATGCCAGGTGGGGCTTCTGCTG